CCCCGCCAGTCCCCAGAGGCCCTGCTCATCCCAGGACGCCCTGCAGTGACCCTGTCTGCTGAGACCCTCTCAACCATCAAGTGTCCCACAGATCCTCGTGAAGGCCGGCCCCCACATAGATCCTTCTCATTAAGACCCTTTCAGAGACCTCTGCGCACAGGGTCTCTCCACTGAGGTCCTCACAGACCCCTCCCCGCTCATTTCCTACTTAACCACCTGGCCCTCGGCTCACCCCCTACCAGGCTCCGCCTCCAAAAGGCCCAGCATTGGCCCTCCATCCATCACCCACCGGGCTCCACCCATCCCCACCATGACCACGCCCCCTCGCAGGGCCCGGCCCCGTCCTAAATCGTGCCCTGTCCTTGGCCCGTCCCTGAACCCATCTCCCCAGAGCGGGCCTGGCGTCCAGTGGCCTCTCACCATCAAAGAGAGTGGGCCACCTCCCGGCCTGCGCCACCTCTGGGCCTGAGCTTCAGTTTGTAGCTTAACTCCCCTCTGTGTTCCAAGCAATGATCTTGTCCCAAGGCTGCAGAGAGGCCCTCATCTGTGGGGTACCCTTACCTGGTTGGTCAGGTGGCCGCTGAGGTCGCTGGAATGGGGGTCATAAAGGCTGAGGGTGAGGCGGGCATAGCCATGGCCAAAGAAGACCATGTACGGCATGGCACAGGCAATGAGCAGGTAGGAGCGCACATCAAACTTCTTCCCATCCAGTAGCAGGGGGTTCTGGATGTACCTGGGGGCACATGGGGGCTGAGCACGTGGCCAGCATAGTCTGTGTCTCCTGGCCCCCACCTGGGCCCAGACCAGGTCCTCAGCACCACTTGTCCCAGGGATCTGTGGGCTCTCTCTTCTGAAGGGACATTTCTGAGCCTGAACAGTTCAGGGAATTGGGAAGGAGGGCCTGGCCCCTAAATCTCAGGCCACTGCACGTGTCTGGAGTGCCCCCCAAAGTGCAGTTTTCACTAGGATCCCTGAGGGTGGGAGCAGATTGGGCCCCTGTGGGCAGGGAGGACTTCCTGGAGGAGGGAGGGCTGACACTGGGCCTTAGGGTGGATGGCCAGGAGGAGACATCCCAGGTGGAAGGAGCTGTAGGTCTAAAGACCCAGAGGGCCAAAGGGAGGGGAGGGGCCACAGACAGCAGCTGTGGCAGAAATCACACTGGCAGATGGGGAGGTCAAAGGGACCTACTGGAGACCAGATTGCTCTCCTCCACCTCCCCGTGGGAGGCTGAGGGTCTGGACCCCGTCCAGAGGCAGAGGGAGCAAGGGAGGGGTGGTTAGCTCTGGCTTCAGGCCTGAAGGCTGGGGCTGGCTGGGCTGGGGATGGCAGAGAGGCTGGCCTTCCTGCAGGACAGGACAGAGGGGGCAGGGCCCAGGCTGGGGAACAAACTGACCAAGACTTCCCTGTCCCTACCCCATGTCCAGGAGCCTGTGTGTGTGTGTGGGGGGGCATCTCCTCTGCAACCCTGACAAGTTGTGACACCCCACCTCTGCCGGGTACACAGGGGCCCAGCTGAGGGCACCACAGCTTTCCATGACCAAGTACTCCTCTATGGGCCCTGTGACCCCCACCAGCTTTCCCAGGAACCAGCGGGACCCATGGTCAGCCCCACCCTGAACGCCGCCCCGTGCCCATGCCCAACACCTCTGCACGACCCGCGCCTGACGCGCCCTGAAAGGCATCTTGCGGTAGATGGGGTCGTCCTCGATGCTCTGGGTCTTGACTTTCAGGGCGGCGACTTCCTCCTGGTTCCTCAGCAGAAAGATGCCTTTGCCCTGGTTGGAGGCCGTGGGCTTGCAGATCCATATCTGATTTTCTGTAGGAAGAGCCGCCTGAGCTTCTGGCTGACCCCGCCCTATATGACCACGCCCAGTCATGGCCTGGCCACGCCCCGTAGTGACCACGCCCAGGGCCCAACCGCCCTCCCGGCCGTGGTCCCGCCCCCTGCCAGGCTCCGCTTCCACAAGGCCCAGCCTTGACCCTCCCACCTATCGCCCACCGGACTCCACCGGTCCCCTCCATGACCACGCCCCCCCGACCTCGCAGGGCCCGGCCCCGCCCTAATCGTGCCGGGTCCCTGGTCCGTCCCTGAACCCATCTCCCCAGAGCAGGCCTGGCGTCCAGTGGCCTCTCACCATCAAAGAGAGTGAAGAAAGCCTCTCTCTCGTCCCTGATGTCCAGACGATAGGTCTCTGGGAAAAATTCTTCCATTTTCAGGACCCTGGGGGAGCAGGGAGGTGGGGAGGACACAGGGAGGGCTGTCCCCTCCCCCAAGGCTAGGCCAGCCAGCCTTTCCAGGGGACTGACCTGGGGGCAGCTGGAGGACAGTGTCCACTGGAAAGCTGGTTGCCTCTGTCCCCCAACCCCAGCTGTTCCGTCTGCACGTTCTGTTCCCTTGCCAGGAGCACTCTTTTCTGGGTCCTTGCTCACCTGGCTTCTCTACAGGCTGCAGGCTGCCTCACCCACACCCTGGCCCCTCTCCCACCTCACCACTGCACTCCAGCCCACACTGGCTCAGGCATTGTGAGCGGACTGTTCAGAGCTGTGCCCCCAGGCCAGGACAGTGTCCAGCATGCAGTGAGTGGTCTGCATGGGTCCCTGAACACCCCGGCCTAGTCCAAACCTCTTCCCCTGGCCTGGGGGTGCCCTTTAACCCCTTTTCATCGACCACCAGGCCATCCTTCAATTTAGGGCAGAATGGCTCTTTCCAGCTGGGCTGAATGCATCTACCTCTGTGGCCTGAGGCATCCTGGGCTGGTCCACGTGAGCTCCTCAAGAGCAGATGCTGTGTCCTTTATAGATCTGTACCCCAGAGGGAGGTCCTGGCCTGAGTGGCCACCCAGTAGTGGGTGGAGAATGGATGGATGGGTGTTTGGAGAAGTGAATAGGTAGGGATGTGGATAGGTGGGTGGTTGGATAAATGGATTTTGGATGGAAGTAGGTGGATGGGCAGGTGGTCCAGTGGATAGATAGATGCTTGGAGGGAGTGGGTTAGAGTTGTTGAAATGCGTAGGGTGGCGGTGGATGGCTGGACATGTAGATGTAAAGGTTATGTCATGGATGGCCAGGTGAGTGGGTGGGCTGCCTGCCTGGTTGGGGGTGGATGGGGGTGCGGGGGGGACAGATGGTGAGCATTGGTTGGATGGACAGGCAGATGGGTAGGTAGTTGGATGAATATGCCTGGTGGCTCAGGCACAGCTGTGTGGTGGGTGGGGGACGGGGAGCAGAAGGAGAGTGGTGTGGGAGGGTCTGGGGAATGGGTGTGGGTGGGTGGGCCACAGTGGGGGTGTGTATAGATCACTGGGTGGTCCGTGGGGGTAGGTGGATGGATTGGTTGGCAGGTGTTTGGGGGTGCATGGATGGAGACGAACAGACAGAGTGGTGAGTGGATGGATTCCAGGGAGCGTGGTCAGGACCAGCGATGGACACGTTGGCTGGGTGGGAGTGGGGCCTAGAAGAGGGCGGGGGTGGTTCGTGGGATGGGGGGGATGGGGTGTGTGGATGGGTCCTATTGCTCTGAAGGACACACAGGTGTGCGGTGAGTTGACAGTGGGGGCCCGGGGGGGCGGGGGCAGGCTTACTTGGCCTGGGCACATGGTGATGTCTTGTGGATCTTGTTCACAACCCTTGAGTACTCCCTCAGGGCACTGAGCAGCCCGATCTTGGTGGTGAGGAGCTTGTTGTTGGGGATCTGGTACAACAACTGCTCGCCTGGCAGGGGCAGAGTCCTGGCTGGCATGTGGTGCTGCGGGGCCCGGGCTGCCCAGGCCGCCGCAGCCTCCCGCCTTGGCCCCCACCTCCCGGAATGGAGGGCAGTGGCACCACTTGGCCCCTGGCTCTGGACCAGGAGGCTCTTGCAGGCTGCAGGCCAGAGCCTGTGGCCCCTCCCCTCTACCTTCCCGGAAGCGGTAGTAGTTGTCTCTGCACTTGAGCTCACACCACGTCAGCTTGCAGTCCTCATGCCGGCTGTCCTGGACGCGCTGCCAACCCTTGCCCCTGCAGTAGGAGCTGATTCTGCAGGGGCACAGGGGCAGTGGTGATCCTGGGGGCCTTGGAGACCTGGGAGTGGGTAGGCATGCCGGGGGAGGGGATGCGGAGGCCACAGGCAGCAGGGCCGAGCCTGAGGCCCCCCACTCACATGGAGGCCCCGTTGGTGCCTCCGATGTAGAAGTAGGGCCCTTGCCCGATGCTGTGGGGCTGTTTCTCCCCCTCTGGCAGGTGCCTCTCCAGGAGAGCGGCCTGAGGCCTGGAAATACCAGTGTCGTCCAGGAGGTCTGTGGGCAGGTGGGGGGTCAGAGGCTCTGGCCTGGCTGGAGGCTTTCCTGTCCCCTGGCCCTGCCCCAAGCCCACCTGCATCCTGTCCCAGCTGGCTTAGTGAGTGCAGGACCTGCTCCTCCTTGTTGCTCCCCATTGGTCTCTCATGGGCCCAGCCTGTGAACAGGGTGGGTTCTGAGGCAGGGCCTGGGGGAGGTGTCCATCCTGAATCTGGCCATCCTGCCCATTTCTAGCAGCCCCTGGGCGGTCCCCCCAGCCATCTGGGCCCATCTCAGCCCAGGCTGAGTCCTGACCCGTGGGCCTGAACCTGTCTTGGGCAAGAGGGGAGAGTCATCACCATTTAGGGCCAGACTTGGAGTGGGCAAGGTCCCTGCTTACCGACAGGGCAGGGGCTCCGTGCAGAGAGGGCTAGGGCTTGCGGCTGGAGCCGGGGGGGGGGGGGGGGGGGGGAGACATGTGCAGGGATGTGCCCAGGACAGTGGGGGTCACAATGTCTATCATGATGTCATGGGTGACCCATGTCAGGCAGGGGAGATGGATCCAGCCTGTCCTGGACAGCGGCTGGGTTCTGGGGCCAGCAGGGGCAGTGCCTACTGTGCCCATCAGGGTGGCATGCCCAGACTGCGAAGTGCCGCTGTGTCCCCTCTCTGTGCCTGTTCAGACCCCGGCTCTGCTGTTCTCTGCCCTGCTCAGCTGGCCCGAACCCCGCACCCAGTGCATGGCCTTCTCCTAGCCCCTCTCCTAGAGAATGGCCATGTGTGGTCCGCCCCTGGGAATGCCTTCCTCGGGGGTGGGACGCCTGCCCCAGGGAGGCACTGGCCTGGGGTGGGGGTGGAGCCAGTCCCAGGGCTGCATTCACCTGGCACCCGGGTGTGGCTCCGCCGGACCCCTGCAATCCTGGACCGCTTCCCCCTCTTCCCACTGACGTGGGTCCGAGTGGGTGGTCCCCGACGGTGGATGAAGTGGGTGTGGCTTCGGGCTGCAGGCGCGGGAACGCAAGGGCGGGGGCACCTCTGGGAAGACACCACCCCCACCCCTCTGTGGGACCTTTGAGCAGCCCATGGTCCTAGCCCTGGGGAGGGGTGCCGCCTGGGATCCTGGACTTGGGCTTCTGCTTGCGGCTGGCTTCTGTCTCTGTGGTGACCGTAGGGCCTGGTGCCCTGTGCAGGCAAGGCCGTCTGCGCATCCTGTCTATCCCAGGCGAGGCTTTCCCTGCGGGGGCCGTCTCTCTGGCATTGCCATGCTTGGCCTCCGTGGTGCTGGCTGTAAGGAGGGCCGCTGTCAGGTCTCTGGGGCCTGGAGGGGCACCCTGGCCCCAAGCGGTGCCTCCCCGAGTTGAGGGTGGCACTGTGATGTGGGGCTTGGCAGTAAGGTGTCCAGCAGCATCCTCGTTGGCTCCGGGCCCTGCCCCGAGGACCATGTCTCCTTTTGAGCACCCTTTCCCGTGTGGCCAATTTGGGAACATTTCAGGGATTGTAGCCATTCTTTGATGGGTCCTTCCCAATTAGGGGCCTGCTTGGGAGGTGAGGACTTTCTAAAGGATTGAAAAAAGATAAGCAGTGGAGAGGCCAGCACACTGTGGAGTTGGCAGGACAGAGAAAGGACAAGCCAGGTGCCAGCAGATCACTCTCCAGAGAGGACAGTCACTTTGCAAGCAAACCAGCTGGTCACCCAAGAAATGCTTTAGTCCCCACTTAGGACAGAAGAGGAATAAACTCTGAATAGCTGTCAACATGATTATGGGATCTGGGCTGGTAGCTGGGGTTGGGCTGAGGATGGGCTGAGTGTGGACCACCCAGGGTCCCTTGCCCCAAGCCCTGGCCTACCCAGAATGGGAGGGCTCCTTGGAGGAGGCTGAGTGTGGGGGCTGGGCCCGGCACGGCATGGCTGGGGGGATACAAGCCTGCTGAAAACAGGGAGAGTGCATGCATGTGCGTGCCTGGCCTGGAAGACCCCGGTCCCCTCCCACTAGGCTCCCAGAACCCAGCAGCAAGTCCCAGAGTCCTGCTGGGGGTATGGACCCCCCGACCAAGATACAAATGTTCAGTACCATCCCTCAGGACTCTTGAGTGGCCCCGAGGGCCCCCCGCCCCCAGGTGTGAGAGCTGCACACACACACACACACACACGCAGGGACATGGACACAGTCACACACGTGTGCACAGGAAGTGGAAACGAGGGGGAGGAACGGATGACGCAGAATCCAAGCAAGCCAAGCCCTGGAAGGGGCTGGGCTGTGAACAGGAGACTGGCCACTCCCGAGAGAGGGTTGGCTGCGGTCAGAACAAAGGGACACGGAATACGAAAGGGCTGGTGGAAATTAAAAATGCAATAGAAGCGTTGGAAGTTCAAGGAGATGGCGCAGGAAGAACACAAAGACGGGAGTGGGAAGGAAATCGAGTTAAGCCGGCATCTGTGGGGGACCTGGCGCTGGCCTGGCAGGGGGGCATCCAGAGCACCAGGGGAAGTTCCTGGGCAGTCCAGCTAACCCATCCGTGCCTCCCTTTCTTCACCTGTAATGGGGGCTGGGATGGGGCTGCTGGGAGGACAGAGGGCTTCTGACACGTGTGACACACGTCAGTGTGGGCTCGTAGTGGCGATGCTGAGGAGGGCGCGGTGGCATTTGGGCACGGCTAGGGAACGGCGGGAGACAAGTGTAGAACAGGGCGATGGTCAGCTCCAGAGGGAGAGGACCGTGTGCGGTGCTGGGGGGTGGTGTGCAAGGGACCGGGCCCCGTCCTCCAGCGTCCAGAGTGGACGGGTATGTAAGCAGAGTGGCGTGCGGGGGCTCCGCAGGACCGCAGAGCCCATAGCCGGAGCTGCTGCCTGCGGCTGGCTTTCCTCCCTCTGCGGGCACCCCCTTCACCCCGGCTTTACCTTGACGAAAGACCTGCGTTAGTACCTGCTTTTGTTAACTGAAAGAAGTCTGAAGAGGATATTTGCTTTTAGGAAAAAAGGCAAAAAGGGAAAATGGCGTTCAGCTGTTTTGCAGACAGCCCTTGCAGAGGCAGCCAGCAGCTGGGCGGGGCTGCTCAGCCCCCTCCTGGGGGTCAGCCCCCTCCTGGCCCCAGAGCCCTGAGCTGTGTCTGTGGGCCTCTGCGCTTTATCTCCGTTCAGGTTGTGCATCCATCAGCAAGATGTATCCTAACATACCAGAAAAGCCTAAGGAAGGTTACTTTGGGGTCTGGGAATGCTAAGGTTTTTTTGCCCCGTATAAATTAATGGAAATTGGCTCTTTGCTTTATGCCATCTCGGCTTAGGAAAGGCTTCAGAGGAGTGCCCTACTGATAGTGGGAGAACCTGTATTTATTACTCTCACAAAGAGAATTAAATAAGGCATGCGTTACCGTTTCTTGTCATTCAAGTTAACAAAGATTAAGAGAAAAGAAAACAGGACCCTGGTGTGCACACAGGTGGCGGATGGCGGTGTCTGTAAGCGGCTGGCGGAGGGTAACGGGTGGGAGGGTGGCGCGCGGGCATCAGGCCTCTCGGCTCTGCGAGCCTTCGGCTCTAGCGCTTGCACTTTTCAGAGTTTCTCTGAAGGACGGAACTCTAAATACAGAAACAAAGCTTTATGCTCAAAGACGTTCACGGCACGCATTTATCACAGGGTCACGGGATGGGAGCCCCGGCCGTGAAGGAGGGCCACCACACACTCCATAAGGGCCGCGGAAGCAGGGGAAAGCTCGACTTTAGAGAAAATTTTGAAATAAACTTTTTACCTGGTCAGGTAAAAAGACCGGCAGGAAACGGCACCCCAGTATGATGAAAGGAGGACCCTGGTGAACCTGAAGAAAATGTCCAAGAACAGGAGGAGACGTCAGTGTCCCGCCATGCGTCTTCTCCCAAAACACACGTTTGTCCTCATGCGGTGCTAAGGAGGTGCTGACATTGTTGGATGGGCTGGGGGCTCCTGGCCGGGGGCAGGCTGTCTGGGATGATGCCCTTTGGGGGGTGGGTCCGGGGAGACAGACCTAGTCCTGGGCAAAGGGGCTCTTCCTGAGGAGCCGCCACCCCCAGAAGGCACACCCCTCTTGGCCTGGCCTGGGGGTCTATGACCCTCACGCTGTGGCGCTGGGGGTGTGGACCCTCCGCAGAGGGGGCTCATCTCAGCCAGGGTGCCCCTCTCCTGACCCTCCTTTGTCTCCCTTCTGCTCCTGGGCAGAGTCCTGACAGAACCCACAGGGTCCCTGGTGTCCAGGTGGGGAGGGGGCACAGGACGGCGGCCACGGCCCTCGCGCCCAGAGAGGACTCGCGCTGGTGGCCCGCCTGCCCCCCTTACCTGCCCAGCAAGGTGGTGTGAGCCCTCTGCCAGGGAAACAACAGTGGTGGCCTGGCAACCGTCTCTGGGCAACAGCAACCCAGTGGCCCAGAGGGAAGCAGGGAGATGGGGAGGGGCAGGAGGCCAGGCTCCATGGGGAGCTGGGCAGGGGGCCGTCGGTGGAGGTGGGGGGTGGGGCTGTGGCTGGAGCAGGGGCATCCTGTGCATCGTCCCCACCTGATCATCCCTGAGCCTTCTGAAGAACCCCAAATCCATGCCAGGACCCCAGAACCTGACCCTATAGCAGATTCTGTGTTTCCTAAACGTTACCTGCTCTATTTCATCTCCCTTTACCACACAGCCTCTCATGTGGTGTCTGCCTGCCAGTCACGTGGCCTTGTTGCCCTCCAGAGTCTTGTGTGGGTCTCAAGGGTGTCTCTGCTTAGGGTGCCTTAACTTGCTTCTTGTACGGCTGGATGGTGGCCCCCAAATGAGTCCATGTCTGAAGCCCCAGAGCCAGCAGATGCGACCTTACTTGGAAAAAGGGTATTTGCAGATGAGATTAAGGATCTTGAGATGAGATCCTCCTGGATTATCTGGTGGGCCCTAAATCCAACGACCAGCGTCCTCACAAGAGGGAGGCAGACAGAGGAGACCCGGGAGAAGCCACGTGAAGATGGGGGCAGAGACTGGGGTGGTGTGGTCACAAGCCCACCAGAGGCCGGAGGAGGCAGGAAGGACCCTCCCCTAGAGACTCTGGAGGGACTGCCCCCCAGCCCCCACCTTGACTTCTGACTTCTGGCCTCCTGGACTGTGAGAGAATACATTTCTGTTGTTTCAAGCCCCCAGTTTGTGGTCATTTGTTACGGTGGCCCTCGGAGACTGACACACCCCTTAAACCGCTCCTTACTTTTGAGTGTCCTGTGGGTGACCCCACTATGGGGAGGCCTCCCTGACCCCACACAGGGGCTGATGCACTCCCAGCTCCTCGCTTGCCTGTACCGACACTAGGGGCTTCAGGGGTCAGTCTTGCTGGACTGTGGTCTCTGACTCTCTGCCCTGAGGTGGCCATGGGTCAGCCTGGAGGGTGGAGAGCTCCTCCAGCCAAGCCCTGGACTGAGTGATTGGGGCTGGTGACCCCCCGGCCTGGGCTTGCCAGGGCAGCAGTGGGTGTGGGAGAGTGGGGCCCCTGGTCTTCTCCTTGGCCTGAGCACAGGACCCCCAGACCTGTCTTCCCTCAGGAACCCGTGCTTCCCTCCCCATATCAATTTTGGGGACCCAGACCCCTTGGAGGCTCCCAGGCTCCTGGGCCCAGCCCACCACTCTGGGTCCCTGTGGGTTCTGGGGAGGCGGCCCCTGCCTGAGGTGACACAGGAGCTCAAACTCCAGAGCCCTGCCCCATAACCTGTCAAACTGGATGGTGTGGGTGCTGTCCCAGCCTTTTCCACGATGGTCATGGCCTGGGGCTGGGCACATCCCTGGGCAGCCTGGAGCGAGGGGGAGGATCACTGACCTGCCACGGGGCGGGTGGCAGCTGAGGGCCTCTGAGCCGGGGGTGTGCTGGGGGCAGGAGGTGGTGGTCCAGCCCTCCCTCCAGGGCCAGGGGGAGTGGGGGAAAGGCCCAGCACCCCTCCTGCAGCCGAGGTTGCGGAGTTGGTGCCTTTGCTGGGACTGGGCTGTGCTGCCGGACACTGGGCCAGGAGGTCCCGCTGCCGGACCTCATGCAGCCCCTCGTGGCTCTGCCACCTCTGCTCGGCTCTTGCAGGTGTCTGCATGGTCCCCACTTGGTCCTCCGCTCCTAGAGGCCTTCCTGGGCCGCCCTAGCCCCCCTCCCCCAACCAACCACCACCTCTTGACTGCTCTGGCTTCTTCAACACTTGCAGCCCTCCTGGTTGGCATGTCCTGCCCCCAGCCTTGTCACCATCTGCTACTCCCGCTCAGGGACGTTCCTCCCTCCCCAGGGTCCAGGACTGTGCGAGTTTTCAAAAGGTGCTCAGGAGAGACTTGGTAATGGAAGGAGGGAAGCTGGGGAGGAGCTCTCCCAGAGCCCCCAGAGGTCCCCTCCTCCCTGACTCTGGGCGCAGAGACCCTAGGACCTGCTTGGAATTCTCAGGGGAAGGAAGGGGGTTTTGGGGGGCAGCCATGAGGCTGAGGATGGG